CCGGCTTCGGACTGCAAGAATTCATAAAAATCAGGGTTGGTATTTTGAGAAGAGGAGTAATGGGGAAGAAGGTTGGATTTGGAAGAATGAATAGACTTGGAATGAAGTTTGGAGTGGTTTTTTTCTTCCTTATCGAGGGCATTTATGTTTAGAGGATCACGAACAGAAGGGGGGATGAATCTGGACAAGCGTTTCCAGAGACCAGCATCGAAGAAGTTGAGATCGTTTTCAGGGTAGTCATCGTAGCTATTTGAGGAAACAACAGAGATGCGTTTGCTGAGGTGTTTTTTAGAAGCAACAGAGGCGGGAGAAGACGAAGGTTGTTTTGAAGAATAGTTGTTGTCGCTGTTGTTCCTTGAGCGTTGGAAATCTTGGTAATTGGAATATGATTGAGAGCCGGAAGAGTAGTTGTCAGTATCGCGTTTGGATTTTGGAATGGATCTGTTGGGACGATTTTCAAGGTCCATGACTACTTGATAGGCAAGGGCCTCAGCCTCGCGCTCGAGTTCTGAGGAGTCTTGAGTGGACATTTACTTTGAAGAAGAATAACAAAAAGGTATAAAAGGAAAGTGTAATGTAAAAATAGTTTTAATAAAAATAAATAGAAAGAAGGCGGAAAATAAAAGGAAGTAATGTTAAAAAGGGGGATGGGGGGAGAGGGGGAGGCGAAAGACAAGAAGACAGGAATCAAGTAGTATTAGGGAGGGAAAGAAGGAAAAATAGAAAGATATTGGGGATAGTAAGAAAAAAAAAGAGATAATGGGGCTTGTAGTTGGGAGGGTGGGGGTGGGGGGGGAAGGAAGGGGAGGTGAATAAAAAAAAGCGAGGAGGTAGAGGGATTTAGTGGGGGGGGGGGAAAAGGAGGGAAAGGAGAAATAAGGTAAAGAAAAAAAAGAAAAAGATGAAAGGGAATAAAAGACTGCTTTTATTTAAGAATGAAGAGCGCAAGTCACAAATCCCATCAATTAAACAAGTAAATGTAAATATAAACATAAATAAGAATAAACGCCACAGTTTGTGTCTAGGAGATTTTAGAACCAAAACAGGCTCATGCCAACCAGTTGTTTGAAAAGAGCTGTATGTGAAGAAACAAGTCGAATAGTTCAAATACACAAAGCAGAGAAAAAGGAAAACATCAAACAGCTGCAATTAGGTAATAGCAAGGACGGTGGTTGGACGGACAGAGGAGTGGAAAAAGATGACAACTAGGCTAGCGAATTAAACAAACAGAAAAAAAGATCAATCCATTCTTTCCTCAGTAAATACCGAATGGTTTTTTTATCTTTTCGTTTTTATCTCATTTATCCCTTTTATCTCGAAAATAAGCTCACCAGCTTTTTTCTCTATTTTTATATTTTATATTTTTATTAGAGAAAAATGACAATATTTGCAACTTTCTAGTAATTACAGCT